ACTAAAATACATTCACTTCAAAAAACACTGAACATACACAAAAAGAAAGATCTTTTCTACTTCTCACTCACTAGACCGGGAACTGAAGTCACTGTTACAAGAGTTAAGGGTTAGGTTGGGAACTATGTAACAATAACACTTTAAGAGAAGTATTTCCTGAATGCCTGTTATTTGGATGTGAAGGGGGTAACTTAAAAACACACACGGCTGCTAAACAGACAAGAAATTTAAATACCCTTTGTTATTTTTAAAGATTTTTATGTATATGTATGTATGCATGTCTGCCATATGTGTAGGGCTACCCATGGAGACCAGAAAGCATCAGATCCCCTGAAGCTGGAGTTACAGGTGGTTGTGAATCACCTAAGATGGGTGAATCCAGGTCCTCTGGAAGAGCAGCAAGTGTTAAGCCCTGAGCATCTGCCTCCACTTCACCCTTTTTGTTTTTCCATTTTTTGTTTTAGAGAAAGGATCTTATGTAGTCCAGGCTTGTCTCAGACTCTTTGTAGGTGAGGACGATCTTGAATTTCTGATTCTTTTGCTTCTACCTCATGAATGTTGGAATTTCAGGTATGAACAAACATGCCTAATTTTGTATGATTCTGGCGGCTGAGACCAGGCTTTTGTGCAAATTAGGCAAGCACTCTACCAAACTACATCCTCAGCCCAGATGTCCTTGCTATTTCTAGTTAAGTCATACAGTGTTCATTAAAGCCAAATGTAGTGAATCAACCTTAAAATGCAATGCGTTGCCCCCTCTACTTTTTGTTAACACACTTGTAAATGCATTTATCATGTTCACAGTTACTTCTATTAGACATTTAATTTACAAATGATGTTTTTAAAGGTGCTCAGTGAGAATCTACACATTCATGCATGCTTCCTCTTGACTATGAAAGCATGCTGTAGTAGTTTGAATAAGGATGGTCCCATCGGGCTCATGAATTTGAATGTTTGATTTCCAGTTGGTAGACCATTTAGGAAGGATGAGGGGGTGTAACCTTTGTGGGAGGAGGTATGTTACTGGGGATGGGCTGTTGAATTTTCAAAAGCTAGGCCCAGTCTTGCTCTCTCTCTGCAACTTGCAAGTCAGATGTGAGCTCTCAGCTACTGCTCCAGCACCAAGCGTCCCTGCCACCTTTCTCCTCACCATGATGAAACTTCTAAAACTGTTGGCAAGCCCCAAATAAATGCTTTCTCTTGTAAGCTGCTTTGGTCATGGTTTTGCCAGGGCAATAGAGCAGTAACTAAGATATGCCTAAAGAGAATGGAAAGAACTTCTCCAAATGATTCTTTAAAAAGTAAAATTGAAATACTCCTTCCTAAGGCAAAGGCCAGATGATTTCCTAACCCCTCAAAAATCATTCAGAATGGCTTATGACAGCTGCCATATTACTTTGGAATAGGTCAAAATTTATAAGGAATATTGTATCTCTGCAAGATAAAGTATTCATAACATTTAGTTTTCCTATTTTCACAGACCATTTATAAATAAAGGAAGTGGTAAAAGAACCAAGACTGGAGATCTGAATTCTTACCTACCATCCATTACTCATTCGGCATTTACTATATGCCAAACAAAGATAATTAAGGCCATATATTCCCTTTCAGGAAACTCAGGATTTGTCTGTTGCAAAAATTAATGATCCCCTAATAGGTGCAGTGAGAGATATTGGAAGAAAAAAAAACACCATACAAAATACAGCATCTATACCACGGAGAAATATAGTGGTTTGGTGTTGTTGCTTTGAGATAGGAGTCTCACTATGTTGCTTAGATGGATCTCAAACTCCAGAGCTCAAGAGATGTTCCTGCCTTAGTCTCCCAAGTAAATTTTTGTTTTAAAAACAAACCAAAACTCACCATGGCAAGAATGTGGAGGGTGGATTGGATATGGTCAGCCTGGAGACAAGACCACAGCAAAAATCTGCATAGGATGAGCCTTTCTGTAATCAAGGAGAGAGCAAGGGGGACTGGGAGACAAGATTGGATGGAGACATAATTCACTGAATGAGCACTGGATGCTACATTCTTCCCACATATGGTAATAAAACTACCTGACAGTGTTATGCAGACTAATACTCAAATGTCATGAGGATCTGAGGCTAAGCATAGACAAGGGGCCTGCTGAGGCACTTGCTATGGAAAGAACTATGATTCAAATTAAATGTGAGGCTTTTGAGGCTTATAACAAAGAACTGGCCTAAACAAAAAACTGAGTTTCAAAATACTGTGATAAGAACACACGTTAAGTATGTACTGTCTGCAGTTGGAGATAATGGAGGCAGAGCACACAGGAGTAAGTAAGTACCTGTGAGGGTGTCAAAATAACAATCAACAGTACGGAAAGCCTCAGTTAAGACTAATTCCACATGTTGGGGGGGAAAGTAGCTCAATGGAGAACCCTGTTTAGGATGGCAAGGCCTTCTGAGGTTCCAATCTCAAAAGCAAGAAAACACACACACACACACACCCCCAAAATACCTAGTTACCTAGTAAAGCTGGCACTTTGGGAGCATCCTAACCACTTGCAAGCCTATTGTATTCTTGTGGTGGAGACAAGCTATCTCCCAGTGGATCTGGAAATACAGAGACACCTGATAGAGACAATGAATGCATACCTATGCAGAAAAGCACAGTCCAAAAATATTTGCTGTCCCTACCTCCGACCGCCCCCCCCCCCCCCGCAAGGTTTTTCTGTGTAACCCTGGCTGTTCAGGACTTGCTTTGTAAACCAGGCTGGCCTGAAAAAAACTCACAGAGATCTGCCTGCCTCTGCCTCCCTGAGCGCTCAGATTAAAGGCATGGGCCACCATGCCCAGCAGTCATGTTAAATTTTTTTAAAGTATGAAACAGAAATGAACAAATTGCATTTGTGAAATGCGGCAAGAAACAGGAAAGGTTTAAGATCCGGATAAACAAAAACTACCTGGTGAAGCAAAGGACCCTTAGTATTGAAAGGGTTGGCTTTTTTAAGTGGGTTTGCGACATCTGATAATCCTTCCGTTTCTCCTTGAAGCTGAAGGCAGAGCAAGGAAAGTAGGGGTGGGTTAAGGACTGGAGAAGACGAGGAAGATGTCCGACAGCATCTGTAGCTACAGGAGGGAGGATGTGGAACAGCAATGCCTCACTAAAAGAATGCCCACTCAGCATTTTATGTCCCGAGGGTCTCCACACCAGAAAGCCCGAAAGGCCAGAGGGAGGGAGGCCTGCAGAGAAAAAAAATGCTTTGATGTAGGTTAAGTCCAAGCCCGCATCTCAGAGTTATGTAACTTCCTGGGCCAAAGCCTTTCCCCCTCAAACCCACCACAGCCCATCCCGCGCGGGAATGCAGCGAGAGGAAAGCCCGCAGTCTCGTCCCGTGCCGTCCGAGCCCGGGTGACAGCAGGTGGCGGCGACACTGCAGTCGTGGCAGTTCAGAGTCCAGCACCTGGCCCCGCGCGCGGGAATGAAACTCCACGGGCACGCGGCGGGGGGACCGAGGGTGCGGAGCGGAGTGCTGCATCGGCAGGGGAGAGCGACGGCGCGGGGACGTTACCTCCAACATGCCTCTACGGCTCGCCCCGGCCGTGTCGATGAGCGTGTTGTCCAGGTCAAAGAAGACCGCGCGGACCCGACTCAAACCCATAGCTTCGGCCGCCCAACAGCACACCAGCCGCGTCCGCAGCTTCGCGCATGCTCCAGGCTGCCGGGCAACTATGGGCGGAGTCGCGGAGTCACCTGACTCTCCTGAAACGCCGAGGTCTCTGTGGAACTACCGCGAGATGAGCTCAAGCCCTAACTTTATGAAAGCGGCGAGATCACGCGAGACTTTAACAATATAAATTTCGTAAAAGGCGCGCGTGCACGAGATGTACGTGAGCATTATTATAGGTCGCTTTTGGTGTGTTTGTGTGGTTGGTTACAAGCGCGGTTCACTTCTTTGCTTGGTGGGCTTGCTTTGGGCTGTAAGGGACGACTGAACCGCACTGGAGGAAGTCTCCAGGGCCTTGGCTAGCCTGTCTTTCTATGGTGACCCTACAGTCACCGTTATGAGCTGGAGCACGAGGGTGTGCTGCGCTCTCCAACCTCTGCCTTCCGGTGTCCTCAGTGCGTCACCTCACGTACTTTTCACTTTTTGGGACTGGAGTCTGCATTCTTTGAAAGATGCTAAAACCCTTGACAACTTGTGTCTGAAGAGACGTGGGAGGCTCTACAGTGTCTGCCTAATGTTTTGTTTTTGTTTTAATGTATGTTTTTCCCGTCCACGTGAGTGCAAGTGCTTGCAGAGGACAAAAGAGACTCGCTGGAGCTGGAGTTACAGGCGGTTGTGAGAGGCCGACTATGGGTGCTGGGAACTGAGGTCCTCTACAAAAGTAGTATGAGTTCTTAACCACTTAACTATTTGTCCAGCTCCTTTCCCCCCCCAGTTTTATTAATTTCCCTGAAACGTTGCAACCCAAGTCTTGTGTGCCTATAACATGGTTTTCTGGATATAACAAGAGTCTAAGGAACCTAGACAGTTTGTTAAGCCCCCAAAAGGGCAATGACAAGGTTTGCCTTCTACTTGAAATAAACCTCTAATCCTTTTTGATTAGTGAAATTTGGAGTCACCATCACTAACCAGAAATGTATTGGGTCCATCAATGCTACAGACCTGATTTTACTGAACTTGTGACAATAAAAACTAATCAGAACCTTTCAGATATTCATTAGTTGTATTTTTCTATCATCTGGCCAAGTCTACTCTTAGGAATTCCGTAAGGACTGACATATCTATATGCACATATATATCAGTGCTTTAAAATTCCACAGGAAAACATCCTGAGGGTTCTAGACACATAAATTCAGATGGAACCCATGCTGTAAAGACCTGTCTTGGAATACCAACCAATACATGGTATCACAAAGACAAACCTGTCTGTTAAAACTGATAACATAGACTGCTATACCTTTTCTAAGTTTAGATTTTTCACTTAAGCAACACTCTATGCAAATCAGAAGAGCAAAAAGACCTCCAATTCTGTGCTCATCAGCAACTTCTACATTTATTATGGCAGTTGACACAACTAACAAAAAGTAATTCCAAATAATGCATTCATTATGTTGGCTGACTGCTAGCCTAAAGGGACACAACTGATTCACTACTGTATCAGTTAGAGGTAGTCTCTTAAAGGAGAATACTTTTGGGAAATTGCATAAACTTATTTTCTTCAATAGCAATGAGATTTCAACTGTGACTCTGCTCTACAAAATAAACTATAGGTAGTCTGTCCATCCCTTTCACCTGATCATCAGAAACCCATTTGTGGCTTGTGTATGTCAGGGTATGGGCGAACTCTTTTTTTTTTTTTTTTTTCTGTAAAGAACTAATTGTTTTAGATCTCATAGTCATGTTATTCAACTGTTACTGTAAAGCGAAAGCAGAGATATGAGGACCTTAAACCCAATCTTACAAAGATGATAGGGGTCTTTAAACGGTAATTAAATAAATTCCTTAAAGAAATACAGGAAAATACAATCAAACAGGTGAAGGAAATGAATAAAAGTGTTCAAGACCTGAAAATGGAAATATAAGCAATAAAGAAAACAAAATTTGAGACAATCCAGGAGATGCAAAACCTAGGGAAGATAACAGGAACTACTGACACAAGCTTACCCAATGAATACAAAAAATAGAAAAGAGATCCCAGATATAGAAGAGAAAATTGAAGAAATAAATGCATCAGTCAAAGGAAATGTTAAATCTAAAAAGCTCCTGACACAAAACATCCAGGGACTATGGGACCCTATGAAAACACCAAACCTAAGAAAAATAGGAATAGAAAAAGGAGAAGACTCCCAACTCCAATGCCTAAAAAATATTTTAAAATCAAAGAAGGAGGGGCTGGAGAGATGGCTCAGCAGATAAGAGCACTGTCTGCTACTCCAGAGGTCCTAAGTTCAATTCCCAGCAACCACATGGTGGCTCACAACTGTCTGTGCTGGAATCTGATGCCCTCTTCTGGCATGCAGGCACACATGCAGATAGAGCACTCATATACATAAAATAAATAATTTAAAAAAATCAAAGAAGACAATTTCCACAACCTAAAGAAAGAGATACCTATAAATACCAAATAGATTGAACAAAAAAAGAAAATCAAATTGCCACACAGTAGTACAAAACACTAAATGTACAGACCAAAGAAAGAATATTAAGGGAAAAGGCTAATTAACATATACAGGCAGACCTATCAGAATTACACCTAACTTCTCAACAGGGGCTCTAACAGCCAGAAGGGCCTTGACAGATGTCTTGCAGACTCTAAGAGACCACATATGTAAGCCTAGACTACTATGCCTAGCAAACTTTCAATCAACATAGATGGAGAAAACTATATTTCATGACAAAACTGAATTTGAACAATATCTGTGCACAAATCCAGCCCTACAATAAAGATACTAGAAAAGATGATACTAGGAAAAAAAAAAAAAAAAAAACCAACCCAACCCTGGAAACCAAGGTTAACTATACCCAAGAAAACACGAGGAGATAAATAACTCTGCAGCAGCAAACCAGAAATTCACACACACTCTCTTTCTCTCTCACACATACACATATACTACCACCATTATCAAAATTATAGGAATCAATAACCTCTGGTCTTTAATATCTCTCAACATCAAAGGACTCAATTCCCCAATATAAAGACACAGGCTAACAAAATGGATGTGAAAACAAGACCCATCATTCTTCAGGATACAAGAAACACACCTCAGCAACAAAGACAGACATTACCTCAGAGTAAAGAGCTGGAAATAAGATTTTCCAATCAAATGGACCCAAGAAGAAAGCTGAAGTAGCCATTCTAGTATCTAATAAAATAGATTTGAATAAAAATTAATCAAGAAATAGGGTAAAACACTTCAAATACATCAAAGGAAAAATATACCAACATGATGTCTTCATTCTGAACATCTATAGCCTAAACTCAAGGTTACCTACATTTGTAAAAGACATTACTAAAGTTTAAATCGCACATGGAATCTCACACATTAATAGTGAGAGATTTCAACACCCCACTCTCACCAATAGACAGGTCATCCAGACAGAAGCTAAACAGAGATATAATAAAACTAATAGATATGAATCAAATAGACATAGCAGGTATCTACAGAACATTTCACCCAAAGACAAAAGAATATACCTTCTTCTCTGAACTTCATGGAACCTTTTACAAAACTGACCATATACATGGGAACAAAGCAAGTCTCAGATACAAGAAAATTTAAATAACCCCATGTATCTATCAGACCACCAAAGATTAAAGCTGGAATTCAACAACAGAAACAACAGAAAGCCCACAAACTCATGGAAATGGAACAACTCTCTACTCAATGACCACTGGGTCAAGGAACAAATACAGAAATTAAAGACTGTCTAAAATTCAATGAAAATGAAGGCACAACATACCCAAACTTAGAAACACAATGAAAGCAGTGCTAAGAGAAAAGTTTATAGCACTAAGTACCTTTGTAGAGAAATTAGAGAGATCTCATATTAGCAACTTAACAGCACATGTGAAAGCTCTGGAACAAATAGAAGCAAACACACCCAAGAGTAATTAGATGGCAGGAAATAATCGAACTCAGGGCTAAAATCAATAAATTAACAATACAAAGAGCCAAAAAAACCAAGAGCTGGCTCTTGGCGAAAGTCAACAAGATAGACAAAGTTTTAGCCAAGCTAAAAGGCAGACAGATAGTATTCAAATTGAGAAAATCAGAAATGAAAAGGGGGGGGACATAACAGATATTGAGGAAATATAAACATTAGATTTTATTTCAAAAGCCTGTATTCCACAAAATTGAAAATTTCACCAAATGGATACGGAAAAGACCACCCTGGGTAAGGTAATCCAGATCCAGAAAGACTTGCATGGTTATGTATTCACTTCTAAGTGAACATTAACCAAAAAGTAATGGACAGCAAAGGGAATATCAAACTGAGCGATTTTGGATTGGCCACCAAGCTCACCATGGGACAGAAGCAGGCAGCTTTTTGTGGGATCCTCCCTCATTGTGCCCCAGAACTCTTTGAAGGAAGCGGCTACAACGGCCTTGCAATTGATGTCTGGAGCTTGGGGGTTGTGCTCTACTCTATGTCGACTGGGTGCCTCCCTTTCCAGGGATGTACATATGAAGGGCTAAAGCAGAGGGTCTTGGCAGGAAAGTACTCCGTCAGATTCAAGCTGTCAAAGGAGCTCTGGGATGTGATTGCTAAGTTGTTAACTCCCTGGACTAAGGCTGACAACTGGTGATATTCTGAACTTTCAATGGCTAAAGCTTAACGGTGAAGGTTCTCCCAATTTCTTTAGAGAGAACACTAACAGCCACAAAAACCCCACTGTAATGGTCATCATGAGAGTCATGGGATACAAGAAAAGAGAGATACAGCAACCTTTACAGGAGAAAAAGTTTGACCAGGTGATGGCTACATATCTTATTCTTAGGCAACAGTCACCCTGGGGGGACAATTTTAAAACAAAACTTAAGCCCAGGCAGTCGGATTGAACCTTGAACCTCACAGGGTGAACCATGACACCAAAAGTGACTATAAACAGGACATATGGTGTCCCTTCCCTTCCCACCTTCCTTGATCGCAATGTACCTCAGAGTCCTGAGAATAACATAGAGGGTAAAAGGAGGTACAGTTGGCCACCCACCCTGATCTGCTTGAACAATGAGATAACCCTCCTAAAATCTGTCCCCAGTGATTCCATGAGGCTCATTTCATGAGCATCACCAGGTGGGACACAAACAGCACTGACATCTCAGAAGAAATATATACCAAAATGTGTTTAGAGAACACACCACTGAAACCTCACTGCAGGCAGTCATCTCAGGATGTGTTGAAAGTTGGCTCTAACAATTTGAAAAACATCCTGTGTCCTCACAGGATATGTTATTCCATCATGCCTCTGAGGAGGAATATCAATGTAAGAACACCAACATAACTGGTGAGAGTATCAGCTCATCTCTCCCAAAAGCTTCACCTAAGGAGGACCTCAGCTGACAGCCCCAAGAAGTGACTACAGCCGGTTCAAACAACATTATGAGCTCAGAACATAGAGCATCTCAATTCTCCATCAAGGAGGCCCAGGGTACCGACCCCAAAGTAAAAGTAAAAAAGGCCAGGTAACCTCTTTTCTCCAGCAAGGAGGCCAAGAAGAGGGTTCCATTGTACAAAACAAACAAACAAACAAAACAAACAAAAACAAAACAAAACAAACAAACAAATAAAAAACAGCCCATATCAACACTATTCTCCAGCAAGAGGACCCAGGAAGAAGGGCCTATTGTAGGAAGAAAAGAGCCCAGCCCATTCTCCCCAGAATCAGGCCTAAGACATCTCATGGCCAGCACCAAATTATACTCAGAGCCCCTTTAGGAAGTGGGTTTGGAAAAGCATCAGCAGGAACATCACAAAAGGACTTGGAAGGTTATGTTGCTGCATGCCCATCCAAAGGAGACAGCTCCTAGTCAAGAACTAAATCTTGGCTCTGGACTAAAAGGGCTGTAGAAGGAGCTGTGGTACCAGGTAGGTGGAGAAGCTACAATGCACTTTTGCATCTAGGCCTCTTTTTAAAAACTTTTTTTTATGATGTCCTTTTCTTTTCTTTATTATGTTTTTATAAAACAAGGGATTCCCTATGTAGCCCTGGCTGTCCTAGACTTGCTTTGTAGTCCAGTCTGGACTCAAACTCACAGAGATCCACCTGCCTCTGCTTCCACCAGTGCTAGGATTTCAGGCACGTGTCACAACATCCAGCTTAATGTCCTTTTCTTTAAAGAAAAATAAATTATGTACTGTGCGTTTGTGGAGGAACTTGCAGTTCTGTCTTTCTATCATACGGGTCCTGGGGAACAGATTAAGGTCCCCAGGCTTGGCAGCAAATGCTTCTACCCACTGAGCTGTTTCCTGGACTTAAAAAAAATTCATTTTAGATAAACAGATTATAAAGACTCACATTTTAGGGTTTGGTGATATTGTATGATCACACTAGAAAGCAAACCCCACAGTATCCTTCTTTGAGAAACTTGAGCTAGATAGACAGCTGGGCAAGGAGGCTGGAGAAGGGTCGGTGAAGGGAACAAGGGAGCGCTCAGGAGGAAGCAGCCTGAGAATCCAAGCCAGCCCAGTGCAAGCACAGCCACATGCAAGCCCTGCCTACTTTTACCAAGAGGCCCCATTCTTGTGTCTATTCCAAGTGCTGGTGGAGGCACAGTGCTCCCTAGAGGCTGATGCCAGAGGGTAGATGGCAGTTGGCTGAGGATGCAGACAGTGCAGGAGAAGAGAGGTCCAGATTGGCATTTTGGACAGCTGTGTGCCAGTGCCATGCTCTGTCCATATCACCGGCTGAATCTGGGGACATAAACCATTCCTGTATCTGCAGATGAACTGTGGGGAAGGAGGGTCTCTGTGAGGGGTGTAACCACACCCTTCTCAGATCACCTCGGACCCTAAGGACTGAAAATGGATTCTGAGAGGCAGGTCTGAACTCATAATCCTCCTGACTCTCTCCTCTACAAAGGTTCCTGATGGCTGGCAGAGCCACAATTTCACCAACCGCGTGAAGCACTGTGGGACTCAAGAATCCTGTAAACAGGGGTTCACGGAGTGCTGGTGATCATCAGGAAAAGACCTCAGAGGTCCTTCCATTCATGGTGAGATTATCAACTGCCTGTCTCCAGATGTACCTGTGTGCCATTAGAAGACACAGGAGAAGAGAAGGCGACAGTGGAAGAGGAGGAGGACCAGCCAGACACACACCTTGACCTATTGGTGTGTGTCCAAAATGAAAATTGCTGACCAGACCAGAGCCAGAAACAAAGGAATGAGATTGCAGGGAGTGTCTATCCAGGACTCATTTGGAAGGTAGAGTGTACAGGAGCAGGTGAGTCCACTGGTTATGTGCAGTTCTTAGAACCATCCTGGCTTACTAGATAGCTTGCTCCTACTCCCACCAACATCCAGAAACCTTCTCAGCTCAACCCAGCACTATTACTGGTGAAACTGCTTGTTGCTTTGCAACCTGAATCACTTGGATGCATTCTTCTGGACTGTATACCTGGACAGACAGGGAGAGACACACACACACTCACACACATATCCTCCCCTCCCAATGTGCCTTGTGTTCAGTTGATGGTAGGGAAGTTTGCTTGAAATGGAGAAGATTTGCATTCCAAACACGGTAATGCCTAGATGTCCCTCCAAATCAGTTAGTTCTTTCTTGTCTCCACCCTCTTCTGAAATATTAACCATCTGCTCTACTGCTTCCTAGGAGCCATGGGAAGCCAGCACATGCCATGGTGTGCACTTTGCCCCAGGGCATCCTGCCTTGAGTAAGGTGAGGCCCACCAACTGTGCTTTGAGTGGAACCAAGGTGAAGTCTGCAGTGCTTGACACTTGAATGCAGAGCTGGAGCTGGTGCTGAGCATGACCACGGATAAGAACCTGTTGATGCAAAAACAACTAAGACCCTCTGGTCTGATAATGAGGCCTTTCCTCTGGGTGGCTCATGGTCTCCTCCCACATTCCCCCTTCCTAAGGAAACTCAGGGATTAAAGGGGACGGATTCATTCCCCTCTTGAGCCCCACAGTCTAGTATAACAAGCCGTGTGTATTTTCAACAGTATCTCACACCAAGATCCAAGCTATTTTCCTTCTGACAACCTATGGAGATGCTGCAGTTCCTGCAGCTTTGTGTCCGAGGCAGCAGGCTGGGAATGAGTGGTGTCTTTGCTGCCTGAATGACACTCTGCTGGGGCTACTACACAGACTCCCCGGACCACACTCAGCAAGGGAGTGTGAAAGCCTGATGCCAGCTTCACCTGCATGTTGCCTAGGGCAGGAGATGCCCCTCAAGCCCTAACACTGGATGGAAGAGGGACACATAGATGATGCCCCATGTTAGGGCATGGGGAAGCATGGCTGGCTACAGGGTGATGGCCCACTGTCCACTTGTTAATCTTACTAAATCCCCTTTGTTTCAGGTCTCCTTTAAGAAAAACGTGTTCTGAATCCGGGAGCACCCTGAACCTTAGCGTGACCGCTTATTGTGTGAGGACACTTGTCTGAGGCAGCATTGCCTCTCTAAGGATGATGCCTGTGTGTGCAGCAAGTGATCAGGGTAAGGTGCTTCTCAAGTTCCCCCGCTCATCCCTCCCATCCACCACCTCCACCACTGTGTGCATGAGGCTAGGAGAGTCAGCTGGTGTTGCCGCCCCCTTGGTCACCTCAGCACAGACACCACTTCCTCAGAATGAAGGCTCAAGAAAGACTGCTGTCTACAAGGGCCAGCCATGCAGAACAATGAGTCTTTTGGGGGTGGGGTGATATTCTTTTTAGTAAGCAGCATCCCACCTGAAGGGTTTAAGGTCAAACAAACCCTTTCTCCCTTAAGTTGCTTTTGTTTATGTGTTTAATCACAGCAACAGAAAGCCAACTAGAACAGTGCAAAAGGTGAGAACCTCTCAATCCCTTTGCTTTCTCAAGTTCTTCTCCCTCCTCTGTATCCATCTCTCCCTGTGTCCTTTCAACATTCCCAAGGCCTTTCATGAGGAAAGGAACTGGAGAGAAGTAGAGGGGGACCCCCACAGCTGCACAGCAACTCACACTCCAATGGCCCAAGGACTGGGAGTCCGGTCGTGCTGAAGTCAATAGGTTCTGGCTATGGAAGTTGCTACCTGGCTGCCTCCACTTTCTCAGTCACAGCACAGCCTATTTATTTGGCTACTTATCTCTGCCTCAGGGAAAAAGGCAAAAAACAGACAAAGTTTCCTAGAGTGATCTGTGAATCTTTTTGTCAGTTGTGCTAAATCTGTTTTAGTAACTTTACTTTTCTAATAAATGTTGTTTCTTCCTTTCCCACCTGACACCTCATTCACTAAAGTGAGATGAACGTGTGCTTTTCTGCTTACCCTCTACGGATAGACTCCAGAAACTGGGCATTGGCGGGGTCTTGGTAGCTTCTAAGTTCACCACTGTCTAGGCTGAATCCAGTTTTCCAGAGCTTCAGCACGACATGAACCTGTGGCAACAGGAGGTAATAAGCAGTTAGTTAAAAAGACAGGAAACTAGGAAATGCAAACTGAACCCGCAAATGAGTAGGTTTTTACTATGTCACCACATCAGTATACAAACATCAACAGTCAGACAGGTAGGTTCATGAAAAGGGGTATCAATAAACAAGTGTGTAAGCACCAACCTAAACTAGGAACATGCTGTGACTCAGGTAAGGAAGAACAGGCACTGTTCTGTGGAGTCCTAGCCAGTGAGGTGACCCTACAGGAGATGGCTCAATCACAGCTGTGGCTCCTTAACTGTATCCCTGCCACTGTGTTTCATGTGTAGCTTGTGCCACATTCAACGCCAGTGTCCAATCTACTGCTGAGCTATTTTCTGGTTATTAAGAATGATATCTGGGGTTGGAGATGACTCAGTGGTCAAGAACATGTAGTATTTGTCCAGAGGACCCAAGTTTGGTTCCCAGCACCCATGTCAGGTGGCTCACAGCTGCCTGCAACTCTAGCTCCTACAGATCTAACACCTTCTTCTGGCCTTTGTAATCATGTGTATATGCCCTCGCCACATAATTAAGAATTACAAATAAATATCAAGAAGAAAGAAGACATGTGCAAGTTGTCACTGGTTCCCTACACACTTACAGACAAGGTCTGCAAGCGATGCACTGGTGGCCACTGCTGAAAGTCTGTAGGGTTTTACTGGCTCCTGCTGATTTGATTTTATTTAAAATACACACATAGAAGTGAATATACACAATGCTATGCCAAAGTATTTTGTAGCATAATGTCAAAAATTTAAACACTCAAAATTATATAGCATTAGTACATGGAGGGTGTGTGTGTGTGTGTGTGTGTGTGTGTGTGTGTGTGTGTGTGTCTGTGTCTGTGTGGGTGTGGATGTATGTGGAAAATAAAGAACACCCAAACCAAAATGAAACAAACCACACAAAAGCAACCAAATAAATCTATCCACATTTCAGGTCTTCTTTGGCATTCTGAAGGAAGTTCTTCAACTATCACCAAATTACCAGAGAACCCCCACCATACATACACGCACACAGGCGCGTGCGCGCGCGCGCGCGCATGCACAAACACACACACACACACACACACACACACACACACACACAGAGCCCCTTTTCCTGAGATCCAAAGAACACTCAAAAACCCTCCTGTGTCTATCCTCTTCCCCACCTTTTGCCCTGGCCCTCTGCCCACAAAGTGAAAACTGTCTCATTTTTATGTAAGTCCCTGTCTAGATCACAGCAAGGACACTATTTCTGCAGGCTCCTCTTTCAGAGGCTGCTTGTTCACACATGTGACCAGTCCCTTCGGGAATGGGCACAATGTACAATCCACAAGCACCTCCACTCACCTCTTGGCCTGAATGCCGCTTCCTTTCTCCTGCCACGTAGGCAGACTCCTCCTCTGGTGCTGCGCCGAGGCGGTAGCCCCCTCCTGCAAAGGGCTGTGAAGAACAAATTTATAAACCCTTAGTGGTGGAGTTACTCAGGTACAAAGACACAGTTATGATACGGCAGAAAGGCAGGATTCTAATCAGTCTTGTTAACGACGGAATATCAAACTCACTGGTCACAGGGTCAGGGTAAGAAGTGAAAGCTGGAGCCCAGCTAAAGGGAACAGTTATCACTAAACTCTGCAATAATGGCTATGTAGGAATTTCGGTATAGGATAACACCAATGACTTTCTGATTTTCCCAAGATCAGAAATTTTTACATAAAAAATGGTAATGAAGCTGGGCATCATGGTGCACGCCTTTAATTCCAGCACTCAAGAGGAAGAGGCAGGGGGATCTCTGTGAGCTGGAGGCAAGCCTGGTCTACAGAGGGAGTTCTAAGACAGGAAGGTTACACAGAAAAACTCTGTCTCAAAAAACAAACAAACAAACAAACAAACAAACAAACCAAAAAAACAACAAACAACTCACCCGGCCTCCCACACCCTCCAAAGCCCAGCAATGACTTAAATTACAGTGAAAGAAAAGACAGCACTAACTTTGTCAAATTGCATAGTTGTGTTCCTGAGCTCTGATCCAGAACACAGACCATACTAGTCTTCTACCTAGGAAAATAAGTAGCCAAGTGCGAAAAAAAAAAAAAAACAAAAAACAAAACAAAACAAAACAAAACAAAAAAAACCCCGTCACTGTTAGAGGGAAAGAGACCTCATTCTCTATTGCGGAACTCAGTTCCTTTGGGCATGATAACCCTTATGCTCACTCTCGGTTTACTGGTCTCTCCAGGGCTCTTGGTCACTCATTCCACAGCTACAGCCCCATGCTCTTTGGCACCCTTAAACAGATCATCCACCAGCTCATTGGGACATTTCTTCCGTGGAGGGCCAACAAACCGCTGTCCACTTCTGAGCCCCCCTGTGTTTGTAGAAATGCCAAACACAGCATGCAACCAGGCTCCGGGCACACTGAAGCAAAGAGTACAATGCCTCTTGTCTTTAAGAAACTTATTGGCCAACAAGAACACATGTAAGGATCAGGCAGGCATGATACAGTGAAGCAGCCATGAAGCCAGTGAAGGTCTCTGGCTCAACGGTGGTGGCAGCAGAAAGATGAGACAGGGACGACAGCCAAGGCTGCCTAGGTATCTCCTGGGCTCTCTTGAGGATGAGGTTATCAGATAAAAAGATGAGTGAAGAACATTCCAGGCATGCACAACAGCACATCAATGCAGGAGAGTTTCAGGGGGGATCATCCATGTGGAGGCCCCTTTCTAGGTGGGGGCAGCTGTGGACCTCGTCAGAAGCAGCTAATTCCAAGAGCTCTGGATTAATGGTGCTGGTGCAGTTAGTATAAGCAGCTAGGATCCAGGCCTGGCTCTGCCACTGTGTGACCTGAGTAATAGGCCAGTGTACTGTTTTGAACACTTCACTGCTTTCAAATGAGAGAAGGATTACATGTCCTACCTACCGGCTCCTTAAGTCAGGGTCGAGGTTCAAATCAGCAGATGTATGCAAAAGAACAAGAAAAGCAATGTACATTATGTGAGGTAGACTGACACCACACACGAACTCCCCCAAAATTCACTTCACCTGCCATTCTTTTTTTTTTTCATTAAATTTTTTTTTTTTTTATTATTAGTTACATTTTATTAACTCTGTATTCCAGCTGTATCCTGCTCCCTCATTCCCTCCCAATCCCACCCTCCCTCTATCATCTCCTCCCTGGTCCTTTTCAAGTCCACTGATTGAGGAGGACCTCCTCCCCTTTCATCTGACCCTATGTTATCAGGTACCTTCAGGACTGGCTGCAAAGTCCTCCTCTGTGGACTCATCTGCCATTCTTATGATGCACACTGGGAGCCTCAGGAGACATACCAAAAGCCAGGGAAGCTCTAGCCTCAAAACAAGCTCCAAGATATCCACACTAGGTACTTTCAATACATTTATATACGTTGGTCTTCCTCCCAATTGGACAGCCTTTGGGGGTGAGAGGCCCTGAGTCACTACATAGACACCAGGAGTCAGATGAATGCAATCCAAGGGTGAGTGGATGCCAACTTGTTTTTTTTCAAACCAGAGAGCATGTTATATAGTTTTGAGTGACCAATTAGGTTCCTCTAAAATATCTCTGAGCTTGCCATTGGTTGTTTATCTCTGGGCAGACTCTCCAAAGTCAGGTCAAGTTCTCTTGGCCCTGACTACTTCAGTCATGTTAGCAGAAGCTGCCCCAGGCCGTGACCCTAATGTCCCTTTCCTGGTTATACACACACACACACACACACACACACACACACACACACACACACACACGGTATATATATTTATAAAAATATATAATATATATAATTTATTATATAGTAGCTGTTATTTTAAATTGTTATTAACATCTTGATAAAAATCACTATTTTATCTTAAGGGTGTATCTTTGTCTTTCAATTTTAATTATTATTATTATTTTTGAAACAGGGTCTCTCTATGTAACTCGAAGACTCACCATATATATAGTCCAGGCTGGCCTTGATCTCACAGGGGTCCACCTGTCTGCCTCCTGAGTGCTCTGATTAAATGTGTGCACCACGATGCCCCTGCTTATTCTGTGTGTTATTATTTTTCTCTTTGTCCTTTAAATACATGTTTTTTCAGTAAAGTATATTTGTGTCATATTAGTATAGTCATGTTTTGTTTTGTTAGCATTTTAAGGACGTTTTCCATCCCCTCAATTTTAATCTTTTTATATCCTTACATTTTCATATGTCTCTCCTAAGCAACGTGTAGTCACAGATTTTTGTTTATTTGCTGTGTTAGTTTTTGATGGTACTGGGGATTAAATCCAACATCTTCTATTGGATCTACACCTCCAGCCAATACTTTCATTTTTAAACCACTCTCAAAATCTTTGTTATTTAAATAATATATTTAGTCCACTCATACTTAATGTAATTATTTGAATTAAAATCTGCCATCTTACTTAGTGTCTTCTGTTTCTCCTGCCTAATCAATATTTCAGTTTTTGACTTTATAGTGACTATTTTCATTATAGTGTTTCTTTTCCTGTCCTTATTACCTTGAAACTATAATTGCTTACTTATTATAAACTGTTACTTTAAGCCACAGGTTATACTCTTGATTTTTCAAAGTCTAATCTTAATCACTACCTTTAATTTCTTTATAAAAGTTCTTTCCAGCCAGGCACAATGGCTCACTCCTGTAATCCCTACACTCAGGGAGGCAGAGGCAGGCGGACTACTATGAGTTTAAGGCCAGCCTGGTCTACAGAGCAAGTCCAGGACAGCCAAGGCAACACAAGGAAACCATGTCTTGAAAAACAAAACCAAAAAAAAAAAAAAAATCTTATTTTACAAAATATATTATTTAAAAATTATTATTTTCAGTTAATATAAAGAACTAGGAACACTTTAGCAACACAGAATTCTCTTCCAACCTATATGCCACATATTTTAATTCTTCCTACATTTTAATCCTGTAAGCATTACTGTTTTATATATCAGTTATTGTTCTCTGTAGACAACATAATTTGAACTTCTGTGTATATTTATTATCTAATTGTAGTTTTTCCTTTATACAGATCCAAGCCTCTATCCTTTTTGCCTGAATCCTTTAAATTTTCATTTAGCACTTATCTGTTGGAAAAAAGTGTATTCAATATTTGTCTACCCAGGAGTAACTATTTACTCTCACTGTTGAAAAGCATTCTCCCTGACCAAATATCTTGGACCTGAAGTTATTTTCTTTCTTTCTTTTTTTTTTTTTTTTTTTTGAAGTTATTTTCTTTTAGCATTTTAAAGATTCCATTATTCCCCCCTAGTTCTTGCTTTCTCTTGTTTTCCTTAAAGGGTCAGCTGCCAGCTATCAGATGTCATTTAAAGGCAATCTACTTTTCTCTGGCTGCTATTATATTTTTATTTGTCTTCGTTTTTTATTTTATTAAAATGATTAACCGACATAATGTCCAACATATGGTCCCTCTCTCATCTAAAACTGGCGCTTGTGGCTGTTTCTGTCAACTGAACATAGGTTCTTCAATGTTCTTGAGCCTCATATTATCTTCTGCCCTACCTGTACTGAAACCAGAGCCTCCTACTGTGATATGGCAATTTTTATTTATTATTTATTTAATGTGTTTTGGCAGTTTACAACTGCCTGTAAGCCCAGTTCCAAGATATCCAAAGCCCTTTTTCTAGCCTCTGTGAGCACTAGACATGTGCACGTGCACATAGATACTTTCAGACAAAACAGGTTTTTGAGGTCCCAGATTAACTCTGTCACCAAACTGGGTGGGGTGCTACTGGCATCTAACTGGTAACGGCCAGGGGTGGTGCTGAACATCCTATGCACATGACACCCCCCACTTCACCTCGACAACAAATTGTTAACAGTGCTGAAGGTGAGAAATCTGCCCTAACCAGGCACGGCATGTCCCTGTGCTTGCTGTGCATACAGTTGGTACAGTGAGACTGTGAAGCTGATTGGTTCCAAGGCTGTAGGGTGGTGGGAGCCAACAGAGCTAGGGCAGGACAAATGGATTTTTACCATGACTTGCAGACCGAAAACTCGGAATTCACGTGTCATAACACAAATGATCACAGCTCAGCCTATTCTAACCAGCTCTTTCAGACTCATGGGCTTCAAGATAAGGCCAGAAAGTTTACCTCCGGTAACTCTTCTTGGACTTATGTGTTTCAGAGATACAGCCACCGGCTTTTCCAGACACTCTCCTAGTTTACAGATTCTCACCAATCCCTTCCAAGACCATCTCCAATGTTTGCCCCAAATCTCATGAACTGTTTTCCAAAACTACCCTCTTTTGAGGGGCTCACAGGTCCTCTGGTGAATTCCTTATGTAGCAAGTTCAGTGGATTCAACTCTTTTTTGAAATTATTTTTAGATTGTTCCTGGTTATTTTGGTCTATGTGCTTTCACACTGGGCATAGGATTCACACACCTGATGTAACAGGCTGCCGGTGATAGTTCAGGAATGTTCAAAGAACCTCCCAGAGAGAAACATACTCTGGAGATTAAATAAGAAATTTTCAGCAATGATACTTGAAGTGGGATTCTGGATGGTAAAATGGTTTGGGTGGAGGTGAAAGAAAAATGTATCACAAGGAAAAAAAGAATATGACAAGGTCAGAGGAAATAGCAAATCATCCAGGCATGCTGGAAGGTGCCAGACCACACACCAGTTGTTAAAATTACCGTGATACGATGTTTTATACTGTTTGTTTTCAATGAAGGAATCAAGTATAACGTTACCGTGGCCTGAATTATATATAGCATAGGATCCCTACAGAACTGGGTGGGTAAGTAGAAGGAAACTAGAACATTAAGGTGGTATTCTATCGCCATCTAGTGCTGAAAAGATAATGGCATGCTTGTTTCTGTAAAACCTTCAAGTGCAGTTAAGGAAACCTTTGAGGCTACACTTTGAACACCCGCATCCCAGAGATCATTCCCAGGGCTCTATGTAACAGGACTGGGTTCCTGCTGCCTGAGTTCCTTTCTGCTTTTTCTTCCCAATCCTACTCCCGTATCCCATTGCTTCACTGGTCAAATGCCTCCACAAGGTCGTTTCTCTTTTTAAAGCCATCACTGTATTAAAATTTACATGTGTTGAAGTCATGGCTCTCTTTAGTTCCAGAAAGGAGGGCTTTCCTGTGGTCTGCTCACTTCAGCTCCTGGAGTATATCCGGCTCATTGCAGTACTATGGGAGCGCTACCTGGTGATCGCTTCACGACTCTAAAGTTTGGCTATTAGCGGTCTTTTCTACGTCTGTCTGTTGCATGAACGCCTGAAGATTTGGTAGTCAACATCTAATCTTAACCGAAAGGACACATTTTGACCTTACCGGAATCGTTTCAAAAAAGGTAACAATTCAGGCGGGGATTATGGCGCTCCAAGAAGATGAATGCGTAATTTTTCACACAGTTCGTTAAAAATAAGTGGCATCCTCTCTTTGCACGCGTGTCACTGCAAACATCTCGTCCTAGCACACCGATGTGAGGGAGGCTGGGGCTGCGGCCCTGGCATCCAGACTGGGCGCTTTGAGGAAAGGGTCCTTACGATTCCATGTGGCTGTTGTCTGGGCCCAGGGGTGGGAGCCACACCATTGTGCCAATCTCCAGGAAGGGGCGGAGCCTACTGCAGCTCCGGCGCTATGTCATTTCCGCGCGCCAGGGGTCAATTATTGAATTCGCGCTGCTAAATCCCGGCCAAGGCTGTGCAGCCTGTAGCGCGGCTGCAGGATGAGCGAGGCAGACGGGCTGCGGCATCGTCGGCCCCTGCGGCCGCAGGTTGTCACAGATGATGGTCAGGCCCCGGAGGTCAAGGAGGGCAGGTAGGCCGAACATGGGCTGGGATCATCCATCTCGTGGGCGAGAACCCTCTTCATTAACCCCACTTTGACCGAGGAACGGGCTTCGGCCCGACAGGACGCATCTGCGGGGCGAGGCCTCGCGCGCACCCGGGTTGTCCCCCCCTTCCCCATTGCTGAGAGCCTTTGCTATCCCTCCTCGCGACCCAGCCGCTGGAGCCATCGCCCTTTACCTTTCCTTACCCAACTTGTCTGCTGGGTCCTCTGATACTCCTGGGAGAGCCACCTGGTCACCGTCCTGCCTGTGCCTTTCGCGTTCCTTGAAGAGAAGTCAGAAGAGATGAGGGTGAGGGGTCTCCTTCCTGCGAAGATTGCACCCTCTGCCGCCACGCACTGATGTGACATTGTTGGCAACGTTTTTTCTAAGAAATCGGTCTCGCAGGTTTTTTTTTTTGTTTATTTATTTATTTATTTTTCTTCTTCTGGTTAGGGACAGTAGTTACTGACGATTAGTAAATCTCTAAAGTTTTTTTTTTTTTTTTTTTTTTCGGCCCCAGTCTTTCAGAATGTCCTATTAGCTAAAATCTGAAGCATGCCTCTAAAACCGTACTATAAGACATTTAAAACTCACTTTCAACTTTGTGGTGAATTTTACACTGTGAATTTCTAGATCAGCCTCAAAGTTGTGGAATTCACTTAGGTGAGGGAAATATTACTTTGGTCACCAGTAGTGTGGTGAGGGGTGTGGTACATACTGAGAGACAGGTTTTGCTTCTGATGATCAGTTTAGACTAGTGATAATAAGGTAAACACACAAACATGCTTTGGCTTTGGAAATTAGAAAGTGCTAGCATGTGTGTCATGACCTGGGAGTCCAGCCATCCTAGGGTGCCTTGGGGTCTCATTTTCTAGGACTCACCTTGCTAAATATGGGTAGATTAGGACAAATTGCTCGCCCTGCCTGTTGTGGATATTTGGAATTAATTGCTAATGGCTTTAGAATGGATAAGCAAAGAATGGCCAAGCCTGACTGCAGAAACTTAGGAGAACTGGGAAAAGGGATGGGACCTTTGAGCATTCTGAGAGGTGTAGTGTTTTGAAGTCTGGGGCACCTTAGGACCTTTGGTAGATTGCCCTAACATTTAGAACAGTTGCAGTGACAGTACTGATTCCCAGGCAGAAGGTTCTCTATAGGATTTCTTCCTTAATGACTACAAATTAGATCGAAAATTGTCTCTTTCCACCTGATCGTTTCCAGTGCCTTACATTTGTGCTCACACTGTAAAGCTTTTGCCATTTGTTAATCATCTTAATATCTCTTATTTTTAGTGATCTGTAATGGTTGCTTTTAAAGTGAGTTCTTGTCACCCACCTTTCTATACTTACTATTATACCATTCCTGTTTGCCTTTTTCATCAGCAGTTCTCCTGAATTTTTTTTTTTTTATATTGGAGTCATTTCTAGACGTTTGTCTAATTATCTTCTTGATTACCATAAGGGTCTAGGATTGAATGTGAATCAGGAGAGCGTTGTGAAGAAATCTGAAAGTTGGCACCTCAAAGGTAGGACACTTAAGGTCCTGAGTTTGATCTTTAGTGCAGGAAATAAAAAGAAAGAAAGAAAGGAATCTGAAGAAAGTATAAGCAAACAAAAAGTCAGAATAAACTTTAGACTTGCTAAAACCTGCAAGCCTAACACAAAATAAACTGACTTAAACCACAAACACACACACACACACACACACACACACACACACACACACACACACTTAGGATTGATTGCACAGTTGAGTGTGAATTTTGTAGATAACAGCGGGGTTGTAATGTCAAAATCCTAGACATGCCTCAGGCTGGTGTGGTGGAAACCTTAATTCTCAGACTAGAAGAAGGAAAACAGATTTTAATAGTAGAAGGGGCCTTAGCAGTACTTTGGAAAGTTTCTTGACTCGTAGGAAAAGCAGCACTCACTCTGTTTGACTGGCAAGGTCATTGAGGTCTCTGTGAGTGAGATGGTTTGAATGAAGTTACAGACTGTAAAGATGAGATGAAAGTAAATGAAGGCTGGAACTGGCAGCTGGACAGTGACTGAGAAGCGTCTTTCAGAATTCGGCTTGCTGTTAAAGCTTCTGAATGTCTGAATGAGCTACACAGTGGAATTTGGTGGTTGAATCCTCTTACTCAGTGTGGGACACAGATGAGTGGGCCATTTTAACATGCCACTGCCTGTTAGAGTTACTGTTTGACATCAGTTTCCCAAATGCTTCAGGAACTTCATTGAAAGAGTAATCCTTACACTATGAGATTATCCTTTGAGATACCCTTCTGTCTAGGAAGAGAAGGCTTTAGTTTTTAATGTATGTAACTGTTTAGGAGTGAAGGATACACTGAGAATTTAGCAGTGTTTTCAGTAAGTTTCTGAAGTCTCAGTCAGGTCTAATTCCCATTTTCTAATTTAAGATGGAGAATAAGAGAGTTAGGATTATAATGTTTATATCTCAGCCCTGCCTGAGTATATCTTCAAGTGGGTCTTTTAACTTATTTTCTCTGTCATTGCTCAATTAAGACATTTAATATTTAATTTTTACCAGTTGGGCACACACCTTTAATCATAGCACTTGGGAGGTAGAGGCAGGTGAATCTCTTGAGTTCGAGGCCAGCCTGTTCTACAGCATGAGTTCTAGGACAGCCAAAGCTGTATAGAAAAACCCTGTTTCAAAAACAAACAGACAAACAAACAAACAAAAGAGAGACAGAGAGAGAGAAAGAAAAGAAAAAAAGAGAACATTAACATTAATTTTTTACTTTTTTCAGAGGAAAAAATGATTCTAGGAGAAAAGAATGTGCAAAATGAGCAAATTCAAGGTTTAGTCCCTGGTAAAGACGAGACTAGTTGCTCTTTGGCCTTTGTGCTTCCTTGGCATCCAAAGTTGCTTCCACCCCGTGGATTTGGAGCCTACAGATTGCTTTTTTTTTTTTTTTTTTATTCTTGCAGACTTCATAGTTCATTCTTAGATTCTTCGTGTCTTTTTATCTGATTCAAGGCTCTGTGGCACTTGAAGGTTCTGTGGTCTGGTGTTCAAATACAGGGAGAGTTGAAGAATACCCTTCAAATTTGGCTAGTAAAATGGCAGAGGATGATTTTTTTAAGTAGTGCCTTTTGTCTACAAAGTTGTCAAAACAGGTTGCATCACTCTGACTGTGCCCTTTCCCATAGAGACTGTAGGCAATTCCGGGTGTTCAAGTCCCCAAAGGAGCAAGCATTGCTCTAGGTACTTCTTAAGAGGTTTGGACAAACAAGTAGCTTGCTCAGGGTGCACCTGGAAAATAAGTTGTTGATTGTGTGAGGATAGGCTGGGATAGTGACAATAGAGATAAAGCTGTTTGTTCTTGAAGCTAAAGTATACAGATGCACAGTCTGAGGAAAGCCAACATAGAGAAAATATGGAGGGCTAGAAATGGATTGTGAATTCCCAGGATCAGTAGTGAGGTCAAAAGAGTTAACCTTAGGCTAAAATAAGTGTGTGCAGAATAAGGGTTCACGACCAGTTTGCCTCACTTATGTGACAAGCTCTCACCTTCTCAAGTGCTTAGTAGTTATACCTGATTAGTGCCTATGTCATTTTCATCACCATGGGAGATTTTCTGGACAAGTTTTCATAGAACTTGACTAGTTGGGTATGGGGGCACATGCCCTTAATTCCAGCACTCAGGAGGCAGTTGTAGGTGAATCTCTGAGTTGAAGGCCAGTCTGGTCTATAAAAGTGAGTTTCAGGAGAAACAGGGCTACACAGAGAAACCCTGTTTTGAAAAAAACCCCAAAATTTAAAACAAACAACCATCACTACCACCAACAAAAAAACAAAAACTTGACCAGCAAAATTAAAATTACTAGTGGGAGCTGGATAATGAAGTCTGGGAGGAAGTTAGAGAAGATTAATGCACAGTTGTCCAGCTGTGCATCAGGAATTAGTGATGGGGACAGTGGGTTTCCAGGACCACTCTGGACGCATAGACCGGAAGACTCTCCAGGCGTTAAGACTGTTGATATGCTGAGTATGGTGGCCCACGCCTTTACTCCCAGCACTTGGGAGTCAGAGGCAGGTAGATCTCTGTGCATCAGAGGCCAGCCTGGTCTATGTATTTTGACAGCCAGAGTTACATAATAAAGAAATCCTGTCTCAAAGCCCAAACCAAACCAAAACCAAGCAAGCAAACAAGTGACTAATCAGCCAACCAAAAGCTGTGAAGGTTGTTTTGATGGAGGAGGTTCAGTTGGGAGCATCTGGCAGGGGAGGCTTCTAAATTCTTTGATTCTATTAATTGTAAAAGATTAATAGTACTAGGTCCCAGCAAGTCCTGCCAAGGGCCCAGTGATGTCACTCAGTGGTAGAGTGTTGGCCGGATATGTAAGAGGCCAAGACCAAGGCAGGGAGAGGGTGCTTAGATGCTGACAATATGGGATATGTGGGACACCCATTGCATGTCATCTTTGGAATTCCAGCTACTTCTCCAGCTGTAAGCACTGTTGCATTGAGTCCTGGCTGAGCTGACTTGTGGACACAGTGGATCCTTATACCATGGTGTGAAGAGGCAGTGACTCAAGTAGAGTGCCACATACTCTGAACCAGATGACCAAATTAAGAGTTTTAAATTGTAAGTTATGGGGGCTGGAAATGTAGCTCAATGGGACACTGTATGCTTAGCATGTACAAGGCTCTGGGTTCCGTTCCCAGTGCCCTTTGTCCCATGGAAGGAGCACTGTGAAAGGGGAGTTTGTGTGAGTCAGAGACAGATTAGGAGAATTTATTTTGTTAAGAAGGAAAAAATGAAACTGCTTTGGTTAGACTTTTGTGCTTCTACTGGTTAAGGACAACCCACAACCACAGGTTTGTGATTATATAACATGTTCCTCCATTGGTTCAGATAGGTACATGATTGCATAAGGACAGGACTATCCTGGTTGGACTGTATAATGTTTTCTGGGTGCTTTGGGTATGTTTCTCTCTCTGTGCAACTCCTGTTTTTAAACAACCATTTTTCTGCCATTGGTGTTATAACCAGCCCTGCTTTATTGAGTGGATACCTCTCAATTTATTTCTATTGTTGGTAAACCAGCAGGAGTTCCTCAGATTTCTGGCATCCTTCCTCAAAAGGTCCAGCAGTTTATCAAAGCAGATGCTGAGACTCATAACCAAACTTTGGGCAGAGTCCAGGGAATCTTAGGAAAGAAGTGGGAGATAGTAAGACCTGGAGGGGACAGGCGCTCCACAAAGTGTGCAACAGAACCAAAAAATCTAGGCACAGGAGTCTTTTCTTAGACTGATACTTCAACCAAGAACCATTGATGGATATAACCTAGAACCCCTGCTCAGACTGAGCCCATGACAGCTCAGTCTCCAAGTGGGTGCCCTAGTAAGGAGAACAGGTGATCAGTGGCTGGCCCTTTGATCACCTCCCCCTAAGGGGGGAGCAGCCTTGCCAGGCCACAGAGGAAGACAATACAGCCAGTCCTGATGAAATCTGATAGGCTAGAGTCAGGTGGAAGAGGAGGAGGACCTCCCCTATTAGTGGAATTGGAGAGGGGCATGGGAGGAGATGAGGGATGGAGGATGGAATTGGGAGGGAATGCAGGAAGAGGTTACAGTTGGGATACAAAGTGAACAAATAGTAATTTAATAAAAATAAAATAAAAAAGTTTTATGTTAAAAAAACAAAAGCAATAAACAAGATTTATCACCTAACAACTCATAGCTTGGGGATAGAAAAGCTTATTTTAGTTTTTACTCTTGACATCAGTATTGATTAACATTGTGAAATTATCAAGAAACAAGTTCCTAATGTGACAGCAAATCTTTTTGACTTTTTTTGTTTGTTTGTTAACTTCAGGTTCAGTGAAATTGCTGCTGTCCTCTGAGACTCCCATTGAGGGCAAGAAAATGTCCTTTGTGAATGATCTCACTGTCACTCAGGATGGGAGAAAAATTTATTTCACGGATTCTAGCAGCAAGTGGCAGAGGCGGGACTACCTGCTCCTGGTGATGGAGGGCACTGATGATGGGCGGCAAGTGTTTCCTTTCAGGTCTTATCTCAATTAGGGGGTTAGCTGCAGGTGATAGCAGCAGACCTTGTATTTGCAGGAAGCTGTAGTAAGGTCTCAGCACAGTGTGTCTAGGAATAAGACCGTAGTGGCTCTGGAGTCACGTGATGGCTCAGGATGGTCATAAGATGAAGTTTATCTGGCTGGTGGGGTGTGTGTGTGTGTGTGTGTGTGTGTGTGTGTGTGTGTGTGTGTGTGTGTGTGAGATTGATTCTAGACAGAGTGGCAGGCCTAGGTTTCAGGTCATGCCTCCAAAGGCTGGTGTGCTGGCCCTCCCTCATTGTGTTGACCTAGTTTTCTGGTCAGCAAGGGAGATACTGGATCTGCTGTGAACTGGGAGGCCCCTTGCTAGCCAGCCTGGGTCCAGGTCCACACAGATCCCTGACATGAGGTTTTTTTTTTTTTAACTCCGTTGGGAGGCCGATTCACTTTCCCTTTCCCCAAGCCCACAGGAGATCATGGGCTCTTGTGACTTCTGTGTTGTCTTTTCACAGCCTATTGGAGTATGATACTGTGACAAAAGAAGTGAAGGTTTTGCTGGACGAGTTACGGTTCCCTAATGGAGTTCAGCTTTCTCCCGAGGAAGACTTTGTCCTGGTGGCAGAGACAACCATGGCCAGGATACGAAGGTGTGTATGTGGTATGAGCAGAGTTATCAGTTCTTATCCAGAGCTTGCTATGGACTGTGGTAGAAATGAGGTGAACGACAGTCTGAGATGCTTCATGCCTCCTCTCTATGTGATGACGAGAACGTTGAAGTTAGACTGCACTTCCTTCTTAGGTCTCAGTCTTTGTGAGAGTCACAGTCCAGAGTGTGTCATGACTTCATGCCCTTTGCATAGCCTGCAGTCTGTTTCCCTGTAACGTGGCTTTTGGTTTTTCCTGCCTCTGTTGTCCTCAGGATGTCTTTCAGCTCTGCTTGCATTCACGACAGACACATGTTTAGTATTTTCCATACATATTTGAACTAAGACAAAGTTTTGTGCTTGGCTAAGGATTTTTTCTTAAATTTTGTTTTCTACTTCTCATTTCCTACTTGGGCATGTTTTCAGAGTCTATGTGTCTGGCCTGATGAAAGGAGGGGCAGATATATTCGTGGAGAACATGCCTGGATTTCCTGACAATATCCGGCCCAGCAGCTCCGGCGGGTACTGGGTTGCTGCTTCGACCATTCGTGCTAATCCTGGGTTTTCCATGTTGGATTTCTTATCTGAGAAGCCCTTTATTAAAAGAATGATTTTTAAGGTAATTATGAAAACTAATTCCAAAGAGCAAGATGGAAATTAATCTCCTGGTCTGTTTCCATTGGCCTAAATAGCTCTCAAACTTCCAGTTATAGTTAGAATATTTGGTACCTGTCATTCCTGCTTTTAAGCACATTTGTGTGTTCATGCTCAGGTGTGTGCATGTGTGTAAAGGATAGATGCCAGCCATAGTGGTGAGTTCTCTGGAGCCAAATACCATGTTTTGTGAGACAGGGTCTCTTCTCTGTGGTTCATTAGGTAGGCAGGGGTGGCAGCCTTTGGGTGTCAGGGATCTGCCTGTTTCCATGTCCCCAGCACTAGGCGTGTGCTGCCACTTTTGGCTTTTTACCTGGGTGCTTGCATGGTAAGTACTTTACTGACAAAGGGTAGCATTATAAACTGATTTTATTCTTTAGTCTAAAGTAGAAATTGAAACATTTGAGCCCCCATCCTCTGTTCCTCTTGTTTTCCTTGCTCCTGAGTGTTTTTGTCATTTTGCTTTCCTGACTTCAGAAGCCATCCCCTACCAGTTAGTCCTGCTGCTGTCTGTCTGCAGTGCTATTTCAGCCTGCTTTTGTGCTCCTACATACCCAATGAGTCTCATGACTTTCTTTGGCTTCCCGGATCTTATGGGCCTCCCTCCCCTCTCCAGGAGGAAATGTTTCAATTCTAAAGAAATGGCTGCACAACACCCATATTGCGTTTTTTTGTGCTCTGATGTTGGCCATTTCTCTGCGGAGTGCTTGGGCTTCTGGTTGCTAAGTGTTCATCCTTTTGGTCAGCACTGTTCATAGGTTCCTCAGGGGCAAAGCTAAGAAATGCAAGCACATGCTTACAACTATATTTATTTATTATACGTATTTAAATTAAAAAGCCATAGTTAGCTTATGCAGATTACCTCTAGTGTAACTTGAACCCTGTGGGCTTTATTTTAGTTTTCTTAGTTCCCTTCATCTTGTACCTTCCTTGTCTAACAGTGAGACGCCTGGATCCCCTTATCCTGCATCTATATTCTTTCTCTTCCTTCCCTCTTTCCTTCCTTCCTTCCTTCTTTCCTTCCTTCCTTCTTTCCTTCCTTCCTTCCTTCCTTCCTTCCTTCCTTCCTTCCTTCCTTCCTTCCTCCCTTCCTCCCTTCCTCCCTTCCTTCCCTTCCTCCCTTCCTCCCTTCCTCCCTTCCTCCCTTCCTCCCTCCCTCCCCTTTTTATTGAGACAGGATTTTACTGATTGCCTAGATTTGACTAGAATTCACTTTCTACCAGGCTTTGCCTCTCAAGTGCTGGTATTACAGGTGTGTGTCACCACACATAGAAATGTTCCTCCATATATAACCAGGCTAGAGCCACTGCCCCAATATGAGGAATCTTTGGTCTGCTTCTAAACTCTACACAGGGTTGCTCCTTTCCAGTGTCTTTTTTTCATTGCCACGAATTCTGTCTCTTCGTGGGATACCTCTGCTTAAATTCTTTATGAGCCTCACAGGGCTACAGCTCTTTGTAGCTGTGCCCAGAGGTGCCCAGCACAGTATTCTTTGCAAGGGCATGCCCACAGGGACTGCAGACCAAGCTTCAAGGAAGATGGCAAAATGGGCTTGTTTAGAGATGATAGCAATAGGATGGACTTGCTGATTTAACCTTACTAGTCCCTTTGTGAGTGTGAAAGGCTTTTTAAACTCCATTAAATGGCTTTACACTCTTGCACTCTTTGGGTATTTTAAACCCAATTAGAGCACTTGTGGCTTACTTTGGTTAAGTTGTATTAGTTTTGACCCAGTGTTCTATTGGGCAAAGATGGTGCTCAGCTTGACATTGGTGCCATGATCTTTTGGAATGTGTCTTGCATTTTTCTTTGATTAGCTAAGACATTGCTAATCCCTGTGCAGGCTTGGCCTTCTTGGACTGATCTGCATTGGAATGGGAAGCATGATTCTGCTCTTGCCCTATGGCACCTCCCTGCTCCCAGGAGGCTGTCCAACTCTTAGATGGTGTTAAGTTATGTGATCAGTTTGCTTGTAGTCAGAAGGTAAGCTCTCCTCCCTGATACTTCCCTTCCAGCTGTTCAGTCAGGAGACAGTGATGAAGTTTGTGCCGCGGTACAGCCTGGTCCTGGAAGTCAGTGACAGTGGTGCCTTCCGGAGAAGCCTTCACGATCCTGATGGACTGGTGGTCACCTATGTGAGTGAGGCACATGAACATGATGGACACCTGTACCTGGGCTCCTTCAGATCTCCCTTCATCTGCAGACTCAGCCTCCAGTCTATTTAGCCAGTCCAGCAGCTGCCCCCACTGCATGCTGGGAGTCATCACACTCAGCCACCATAGGTCTGGAAGGAGCCATGGACATAGCTCTGTCCTTGTGTTCCTGTTAGTTCTTGGAAATGTGGGAGTAGCTGCTACAACCTGGAGAAGGTATGGGCCCAAGAGGTGCCTCTCACCTGGACTTGATGTTACTTATACTGTGTCTGCTGTAGGGAAGACAATTCACGGAAAGCCATTTTCTGTTAAAAATTATGCTAAATACAAGAATTCTCTAGGAGTTGGAAAATTTCATACACTTGTCACAGGGCTCAGGGTTTGATATTAGAGCAGGAGATTAGCTGTAGATTAGCTGTGCAGGGACATTTCTGTTGCCGTTGGCTCTGACTGCCACCTTCAATGTCTTCATTCTAAAGTGGGGTCATGCTATTGGGGGTGGGGTAGAAGTGCCATTGTAGGTGTGTTGAGGCTGCTGAAACTTGTTCTCAGTGGCCATGTGAGATACGTGAGAATACCTGGACTCCTAGTATTCTTCCATAGCAAAGGAGTGCCCTCCTACCCTCTACAAACCTCTCTTCATGCCAGAGGGTTTCATTTCAGTGGCCAAGAGGATTTCACTGGGCTTCTTTCTGTGACTACCTCCTCCACTGGAATTGGGTGACCCAGTGAGTCTGTACCTGCACAGGGGTGCTTTAGAAATGTCCTCTTTATGGCTTGATTCCTTACCTTTAGACCTCCAGATGTAAGTAACAACCTGTTGATGTAATGTGTGCTAATGTAATAAGCTCAGAGTTGCTGATTTCTTGGCAAGTATGTTTATACACTGGTCTAATTTTGATAATAAAAATAGTATTAAGCATACTTTTCTAGTGGTTGCTCCTTTTGATGAAATGGCCCGGGAATTTCTTCTGTACTTTAATTATTGTATTTGTCTGTTTTAATTACTTAACAGTGTCAGTATGAAAACCCTTTTGCTAAGTGTATTGTTTTAGGGCAAAACAGCCATCCAGTTTGCTTAGAAGTGAAGCTAGGGGACTTGTCAGGGCACCCAGGGTCCTCAAGTGCCATCGCCCCATTTTGATTCATCCCAGGTACGTTTTGTTGGCCTTTTCTGCTGTTTGTATCTTCTGCTGTTTGCATCTGTTTCTTTTCTCCGTGGGTGTGAGAATGCTGAAAAGATTGTGTCTCTGGAAGTGTTTGAAATAACTTGACAGAAACAGCAGTTTGAATATAATGATGCAAAATGGAGTCAATAGCTGAGGTGAATGAGAATCATTGGCTGGTTGCCCCCTCCCTCCCCACACTACTCATGTTCAGCTAGAGAAGTGGCTGGAGTTTGGGTTGTCTTTCCTAATCTTGCGTTACCTTCTTTGGACTGGCTTTGTAGAAAAAAAGCAACAGTAGATTCGTGGTAAGATGGGCTTCAGACCAGTGAATGCAACCGTGTTTCATCAGCTAAACAACTGTCAATACTGTTTATGGAACATTATAGGAAAGAAAGTGAATATACCTTTTTTTGTTTGTTTTGTTTTTTGAGACATAGTTTCTCTGTGTAACCTTGGATGGCTTTTGTGAACTTTATTTGTGGACCAGGCTGGCCTCAAAGTCACAGAGTTCTGCCTGTTTCTGCCTCCCAAGTGCTTGGATTGAAGGTTTGTGCTAGCATGTACAGCTGTAAATACTTTGAGTAGCAGTGATATGCCCCATCCATCAGCTATGCGTGAATAGCTGGGCAATTACAAATGTGCCTGTAAGAAGCATGCATTTCCTGGGCCTATAAATTGACTCTCAGTTTTTGTTTGGTTGGTTGGTTTTTTAGCAAAGGACTTTTGATTTTGACTGAGTTGTTTCTTTCAACTCCCAAGTGTCATTTCCTGTGTTTATTTGGTAATTTGGCATAGTGAGGTGCTAAAGGGGGTTGTCTTAAATATATGGCATGCTTTTCTTGTAAACATATAGGAAATGTTCTCTAATGAGTTATTAATCTGCTTACATGATTAATCAAGTAATTAATAATTTGCCTCAATACTGTTTCAAAACTATTAAGAGTCAATTTTTGCTTGACAGTATAATGAAGTGCCTTTTGAGATTTTTATGGACAACATCCTTATAAGTGGTTATATATGATTTTGAAAGTTTTCCACATTTACTGTCTTACCTGTTTGTTTGTTTTGAGACATGGCCCTGCTACATTGTACAGGTTGGTCTCTGATTCCTGTGCTAAAGCCATTCTTGTACTTCAGCTCCTGGGTAGCTGGAACTATGTGTACTGTGCCCAGGTTGTATCTGCGGACTTAGTGATGCAGAGATGGATGGTCTTGTGTGAATAGTGGCTTCTTAGTGTCACAGCCGGTACACGACTGAGCCAGTCTCTGTTAGAATGATTGAGAAATGTTCTGTAAGGCTGGACAGGAGGCAAGCGTCCTTCTCAAGGCTGTTGAGACAGTGGCTGCTGCAGTTTGCAGGTAACAGGCTTGGGCCGTGACCTTGGGGGCACAGCAGAGTCTTCAGATACTTTAGAGGGTATCCGATGGCCTGGGCAACAGTGGTGTGAGGAGTTCCCATGGGCAGTGGTGGGAGCGATGTTTTATGGAACAGTAACTGTAGCCAGCTGGAAGGGTTGCTAAGCTGAACAGATATTTGCAGCAGGTAGTAATGGAGCTAGTATAATGTGTCTGGTGAGGAATATGTGGCAGTATGGATGGAGAAGGCTCTAGAACATCAGAGTTGAGCTCTGTCAGGATTCTGGATGGCTAAGGGGAGGCAGGAGGGGCAGACCTGGATGTTCTCTCATTGATACGTTGATACTCATTTGATCTCTCATTGACAGGGAAACAGGGCATGGCACCCTTCACATACTGCCTTATCATGGACATCACACAGTTGCCTTCCTAGGGCTCTAGCTATGTGTCTGTGACTCTGGTTGGTTGTATGTGTGCTCAAGGGCCTTTCTCAAGAATTGGCTTTAGTTGCTTCACAGATTGCCAAGTACAGTCAGTGTCTTGTGGCATTGCTGCTGTCACTGCCCCTGAATTAAATTAGACTGGAGGGAGTCAGGAGAAAAATTAAAGGGAATTTGAAGGATGCCAAGGCAGACCCCTGTGCTGTCCTGTAGTGAGGGTTAGTTAAAGCAGTTACATTGCTGTGCACATGCACATTTGCTTTCCTACTTGTTTTCAAGTCTGTATTGCTTCCAGGTGCCCACAGCTTTCTCCTTTGCAGTCATAATTTGAGGAGAGACCAGAGAAGAAGTCCAGTGAGTGAGTGGTCCCTCTGTCCACCTTGGGGCTTCTTGGTACTCAGCTATGGTTCCCTCAGAATGAAGACTCTGAGACCCAGCTGCCCTGGGTCTACCCTCTGGCTTTACCCTCTGCTCTGCCCTGTGTATCTTCCAGATCAAGTTCCATTGCTGTCTTTCTCAAGTTTCCAGTGCCCTGCAGCCCTCGGTTGCACCTTCGTTATTCCAGGGCCCTACACAGCCTGTCTATCCTCACCCCAGCCCCTTCATACAGGCTTCATCTGTCTGTGCTCTTATCTCACAGTGGGTGGTTTTGAGGGGTATGGCCCCATCATTTACCCTACCTGTACTGAGCCTGCTCCCCGTGTGTTGGGCACTCCCAAACAATTATCCTTCATGGCAGTAGAGACCTTGGGTGCAAGCACTGTCCCTTCAGAATTGCTTCCAGAGTTCTCTCTTTTCCGTGGGTGTTGCTAACCCTGTTGATGCCAAGGTCTGGACCAGTTGCTTAGGTCTTCAGCACACTCACGCTTATAGCTTATCACTACATGAAGCATCCTGAGGTTTTATGGAAACAAACTAAATTCACCAGGCCACCCACTTTCCTGGCTTCCAGTAGAGGGTGACACACACAGTATTGCTTTTAGATGATCAGCTTTTTACATAGGATAAGCCATTCTCATCAACATTGTTCTCAACAGATGTTAAAAGTAGACAAGAAATTCAGTCAGGTATCAAGAAGCTTCCCACATTACCACCTTGTTTACTGTATCTGCTTTGCTCTACCCATGCTCTAGTAATGCCATCAAAGGATTCTCTCTCAATGCCCACATCTTGAGTCTAGGTGTGCAGCACCAGAATTAATTTTAGAAGAAAGTGTGAATACAGTTAACCTGGCCGGGAAGGCACTATCATTTTCCCATCCCAGCCACCTTATGACCCACTGGCGCTGCTGTCTGCTCATTTTTAAGAGAGCCCTGGGGATCTGAGATGGCCAGGCTGGGGTGAAAAGAAAAGAATGGGGAGCACATGAATGTATTATTTATCACAGCCGCGGTCTTACTGACGGAGCAGAAGTCAGTGGCAACGGAGAACAGGCACCTCAAAACTGTGGAGCCAGGGGATGACCCAGACTTCAGAGTAGCAGTATAGAATCTGAAACGAAAAAGGGCCCACCTTAGAACCCCAGCTACTGCAGAGACCCTGCCACCCAGGGCAGTTCTTTTAGTATCCCTTGTGCATGCCAGGCAACTGGGGGCTGTGTGTGAATGTGTTTACATGTGCTGAGGCAGTCTTCCCTTACCTACCTCCAGCTTTTATTTTGAAAATCCTCAAACCTACTGAAAGTTGGAATGATCCAAGAGTATATACTTCTCACTTATAATTATGACATGTTAAAGTTTCCCACATAGCTTTTGTTCTCTGTAGAGAGATCATATATAGAAATACAGCACATGTCATATTTTATAGCATGTTTTATATATGTAGGTGTTGTATATGATTTCTGAATCATTTGAAAACTTTTCCTGCTGTAATCTCTCTATCCCAAATGCAGAGTATTATCTGCAGAGAGGCCTCAGGAACTGAAAGTCAGGTGGTATAAGTCATGTGAGGTGCGGGAGGATACTCTTTTAACCCTGTGCCCCATGAGAGAGTGCCTGCCTTTGAGATGTCATGTTTCATGGTTGGGAGGAACATCCCCTTGGGTATGAGGTGTGGAAGTGAAGAGACTGCAGTCCTGAACGGTGAGCTGGGTGATGAGAGCCAGGACTCAGTAGACAGGCTCTTCTGCCTTACCCGCTTCAAGGCAGGGTTGGTTTGGAAGTCACAGTTGTCCAGGTGGGGGTGCTTGGTCTTCCTGCATGTAGTTCTGCCAATTTCCACCTCCAGCATATATTTCAGGCCTTTCACGACCTGAAAAAACCAAAGGTCCAAGAACTAGATTACTTTTTATAGGATGCAAAGGGAGTCACTGTCTCCCCAGCTGCTGAGGCATGCCTTAAAGCAGCAGGCAAGGAGACTGTTGAGAAGCTGGGCACTGGGGAGGCAAGCTGCAGATGAGCAGGCCCAGATTTCAGCTATTCTTCATTCTTGCCTGCTGGCAGTGCCTCATGGCTCCTTTAAGGCAGCTGTTTTCCGCCCAGAGCTTTGCATTCTGGAGAAATATCAGGGTGGGGTTGCCACAGCCATATGTAAAGATCTGCCATGTTTCTCTTATCTGTCATATCCTTTCAACGTACCCAACAGCCCCCATTAACCCTCAGTGGTGTTTAAATGGATGCTAATTAAGCTTGCTGACTTTCGTATTGCTTGTTGGCATACATGGTACCTGTTGGCTTCTCCACTCTTATGGGAACTGATTTTTATTTTTATTTTTTTGAGTTTCAAAATAGCCCTTCGTTACTTGCACACAGCCATGACTTAGTTCTTTTTCCTTCTTTGTGGTTTCTTTATAGTTGGGAAGTTCCTCAACTTTTAGTCCCAGTCTTAACCAAATAGCATGTGAAGTAGTCTCCAACATCACAGGAGTATGGAGGGATAATGCTCATCCCCCTCGTGGGGACATTGGGTACTTAGGCCCAGGGATCTGATTGTCTGTGGCTGGTCCTAGAGTGCTCATAGTGCCACACATCAGAGTGTACCTAAAGGATTTTTTCTAAAAAAGAACATTATACTCTTAAAGAGTTTATAGTTACCAAAGGAAGACTACAGAAGCCACCCTGGCCCTGTGGCCCAGAACAAACACGAATGCTGTAAAGTCATCATCCTCAGAGCTAGGCCTTTCTATAGCCCTTTCCCTGCACATACTACACATCTTCTGAAGTCAGGTTTACATGCCAGTAGAGTGCTATGTACAGCAAATGAAGTGGCCAGGTCTTTTCCTCCTGCCATGTTAACATGTTCTTGGAACACAAGGGTGTCTTGTGCCCTCTAGGGTGCCCCAGGAAGGAAAGTTCTGAGTGGATGTAATCAATCACCAAGAAGTCTGGCTTTGAATGGTGATACTTGAGTAGGCTGGAGGAAAAGTAGGTCTGTAGGTCTGAGAAGGAAGTAGGCCCAGATCTAGGAGGAAAATGAATGGATCCAGTGGAAAATAGTACAGTGGCTTTGTGGACTATGGCTGAGGGATAATGACAGCAGATGACCCAGACCCTGGACCCTGTCAGGAAAACTCTGATTGGTACTGATGTGCTCTCTGCTCAGGCTGTCAGCCCCAGCACACCACTCTAGGACCCTGCCATTCCTTACTGCCACTGATGGGCTTTGGTAGTTTTATTAAGAAAAAGTCGCAGGCTATCACGCTCAGCTCTGGGTGACACCGTCTGGCTCCGGCACAACTCCTCCTCCTCTAGTGTTGTAGGTAGTGGGTTGTGAGGCTCAGCCTCTCCGTGCTTCCCTGCTCTGTCCTGAGGTGTCCGCCATTGGTCTTAGCTCCGTACCTGTACCAGGGCTTTGCTGACGCGGGACTCCTTGAACAAGAAGATGTCATTTGTGCAGTTGTTGAACTTTTCCACGCTGTGCCTGGCTGCCTTAAGTACTCCGGGGTTATTGGTCTTTATTGTTTTGGGGAATCCTGGCTTCACACTGGAGTTCAGATCTTTGGAACAAAAATCTGAAGAAACAAAAGAACCAGACAAAAACATTGTTGTCAGTGGAGTACTGGATCATTGGGCCATGTCTCATGTCCTGGTGATACCCAGTTCTCTGAGTTATGTGGTCCTCGTCCCTCCCTACCTTCACCTGTGTGCTTACCACATGTTTACTTCGTCGCCTGAGTATTATGCATCCTCATTATGCTCTTTACTTGGAGTTGATAACAGATGTCATGGGTTGTTCAATGTATAGTTCCTGTTCCCTAGTATCTGCCTACATGGCCTTTTTCAGAACCCAGGATTATTCTCAACATGGGGCCCCAGGCAGCAGAACTCCAGACAAGAAATGTGTTAGAATTTTCCCAGACTGGTCTTTGAGGCTGGCTGTTTTCCCCCTAGTGTCCCTTCTGCACTCTTGCACCTTGTCAGAACAGCCTGAGTCCATGTCTGCTCAGGTATGCCTTCAACACAGCCTGTGACTTCACCACCTCTTGTGAACTGGCTCTCGAGGTACTGGTGTACAGATCTTCTCCCTCCTCTTGAGTGAATATTAGCCCTTGAGTTTTGGGTCCAGAGCCTGATTTGCTGTGGGTTTAAGAGGGTGATCAGATGGTTTCTACCTAGACCTGTTTTTCTGTACCAATGAGTCCATATTTGCATGTAAAAAATGGAGCAACAGAATGAGGTGCATGGGGCTAACTGATCCTGAAGACCCACCTCACTAGAGATCCTGATCCAGGCACTCCCTTGCTCAGCTCATTCATTCGACCAGTTCCTAGTATCCCAGAGGCCAGGGTGTAGAGGGAGTTTTTGTTTCTTTAAAAACTCAGTTATGTTGTGTAAACATGTTTTCAGTTTTGTTTTAATCCCAGGTGTGGGATATGGGGCTGCTTTAGATTGTCTACAGCAGCAGACTATTTGCCTTGTTCCAGCTCTGACAGGGCCGTTATCTTCACCAGTTGTAGATAGTTTAATTCTGAGGACTCTGGAGAAAGAATAAATGCCAGAGCCCAGAGAGGGATGGGGTTACTCTAAGGAAGAGAGCTGCTGCTCTCCCTGCTGCTTCTCGTTTCTGTCGCTGTGATTTGACAAGAAGTTGGAGAGATCCTGACTAGGCTGATTGGACTTACCCCAAGGAACCCAAAAACCCTAATCGGCAAGAAATAGCCTATGCTCCCTTTCCCCACTTCTTTTTCTCCTGCCTCGTGTTGGGGTGTTGGAAGGAACTGGGGTGGATTAGGGAGTTAAAGATATGAGAACCCTCAAAACAAGATTAATACACGCCAACATCAGGGTGGCTGAAGTGAGGAGGGAAGGGCTTGGCCAGGTGTATGCATTTGGCCACTTGGCTTCAGAGTCTGGACATGATTATTAGGAAAAGATAGGAATCTGAACCAGTTGGCTCCCTACAGTAGAAAGTGGCTTGTAGTTCTTAAAGTCTTGAATTTGGGTTTCTCTTACTTTTCACTTTTTCTTCAATGGTCAGGGATGAGTTGCATACGAAAAAAGAAAAGTGCTGGTGAGATGGCTCAGGGTGCAGAGGTGCTTGCTGCTGAGCCTGTAGTCCTAAGTTTGATCTTGGTGGAAGGAGAGAACCAACTCTCAAGCTGTTCTCTGACCTCAAGTTGTCCACATGTACCCACACACATAAGTAAGTATAGTATAAATTAAAATGCATTGAAAATGAAAAGCTCAAGGCTAATGGGAGATGGATAACATGGCTTTAGATGCTAAACTTACCTTTTTAAGACATTGCTGAGATATTAGCATGCTGTTGACTATCTAGACTGGACACCAAGATGCAGGTGCTGGCTGGTGTGGCTGGGTTGGTATTTCAACTGTAGAGCCCAAGTTTCCTTTGGGGACAAGGTGCTCTCCCTATCCCAGTAACTGAGTAAGTGGTCATGGAGGCCCAGTTTAAGTAGAGGGAGAAATAGATTTTACCTTGAATTGGGGGTTAGGAACTAATACTGTAGGTAGATGATACCTCAGAACCAGAAGGCAGGAAGGTTGGGTCCCACTGGAAGCCTTCTGTGAGAGCTTGTGGGGAAGACTTTAGGAACTGGGGCCAGGGAAAGAGTCAAGCTTTATATTAAATGTCATCTTTAAGGCAGACATGTCCACATGGCCGCTAGAATCGTGATACTCAGGGTTGGGTGGTCAGGCCTGTTGACACATCTCCTGGACAGCGTTCTAGTACAGAAACCTGTAATACCAGTGATGAGATGTGGAGGTAGCTCAGGTCCGCAGGGAGGCCCTTCCTGGATGGCAGTGATCTGTCAGAGAGCCTCAAGTGAAGGCTATTTCCATTGCTTATTAGAGCCTGAATGACGGGAGCCAGGACAGCAGGGCAAGCATCGCCTGTAGCCCACTACTGATCTTCTCATGTCATTCAAGGGGAGAATGGAATGGTAGTGAAGCCGTGGTCATTGGGACACATGACTTTGGGCATCCCATATTCTCTTAGTAAAGGGAGGCCAGCAGTGCCGGACCAAGCAGGGCATTAGGCTCTCAAGCTAGAGACACCAGATCCAGATCCAGATTATAGTTGCTTCCAGGCTGCCTAGGCATGGGCCCCTGTTGGTAAAATGGTCTTGTAGAATGTATACAATTTATCCTGTTCATTCAAATGCTGATTTCTCTACCCCACTATCTGGTTTCAATCTGGACATTGCATTGTGATGTTTATTCTAAGCATCACCTGTCTCAAGTTTGTGTAAACATGCCACCATTTGTTCTCTGTATTTTCAAAACAACCAGCCAATGCTGTGCAATAGAGAGAATAGGGTGGGACATCCTGGTCTGGAGAGGAGGAGAGAGAAGTGAGTGGGAAGAGGGGGAGAGCAGAGATCGAGATCGCAGGAGAGGACTTGGAACCAGGAGGAGAGATGAACCGTACCTAAGATATGACTAAAAGCAAGTGTAATGTTGGAAATTCTGAATGGGAGGAGGCTATGTAGATTTAGGATGGAGTAACTATTGCCCAGAATTGTGCTCTAGGTTAATTAAATAAATTCTAGTCTCTGTGTGGTGATTTGGGTATACAGCTGGTTTAGGAATAACCACAGTTTAACTAAAAGATAAATCAGTATTAAACTTTAACCTTTAACAACAGGCCCCTAAGCCTTTTATCCTAAGAAAGTAGCATGCTGTTAGTGGTTTTGTCCTGTAGGGTTGGGACCTGGTCTGGTGTGTAGATCATTTATAGCTGGTTTCTGCCCAGTGTCCTCTGGACTGTTCCAGTATGCGCTCCAGCCCTTTATGGTGTTCCCACAGAAGCAAGAGGAATTCTGAGAACAGGAATAGTAATGGGGCAAATGCCAGGCTCTGCTCAGCTTCATGGGAGTCACCTGTACTCTGTAACTCCTAGAGTCCCTCACCTCTACCAGAAAAATCTCTTAAGCCATTGTCTTTGCCATGAGTTCTATAGATTGTACTTAAGCTTTGAGGTCTTGAGTTGTAAGGTTGGAGTGGGCTTCTTTGAGACAGTTTTATCTCGTCATATGCATGGATGCTGATACTTCCTAGGATTAACTCTGTCTTTACCAGCTGAGACACACCCAGTGTTAGAATCTCAATTGATCTTCTCATCAGCTGTGCTGGCTTTGGCAACCTTTTTGAGCCTCCATGTCCCATCTGTAAAAGGGGATGATGATGTTACTGACCTCTTATGGTAATAATAAATGAGCCAGTTTGCATGGAGCAGTAGTGTCAGTATTACCCAGTACCATATCAGGTACAATATGACCACAGGAAGGCTCTCCGAGGACAAATGTCTTCATTGGAAGTCTTTGCACACAGGCTAGGCCAGTGGTCCACTCAGGCCCAGGCCCATCCTGCACCAGCTTCTAGAGCCTTCTGTGGGAATTATTATACCCAGGCCTACTTATTCTCCTAGCTCTTGCTGTGGGAAGCAGGTGGCTTCATGGCTAAAGGTTTCTTGCCTAAACCTCCTCTGCAAGTCCTACTGGAAAGGAGCCAGCAGGGGATGAAGCAAAGGGTGAATGGCAGCAGAGGACCTTTGTGGAAGAGGTGACACATTAAGAAAGAAGGCTTCCCATTCTCACCTGCAGCAAAGAAGCAGAGACAGTGTGGCAATTTTCTAAATTCTGAAGACTATGGAGTTACTGCCCTGCATGTGGGTATGGGCAATTTAACTCCTAGGCACAGAGTGAAGCCATATCCTTAGATCAGACACATTCAGTATCACAACAGGTTCCAGAATCCCATAGGAAGTAGGGAAGGTGGTGTGTGTGTGTGTGTGTGTGTGTGTGTGTGTGTGTGTGTGTGTGT